CCTCCTCGGCGGCCTCCTGCTTCAGCCATTCCCTCTCTGCCTTCAGTTCGGTGATCTTATTCTTTAAACCACGAACCAACTCTACTTGCTCGACCAGCCGAGCTGACTTTTCCAGTTCAGCAGTTCGCTTCCCAGCTGCCTGAAGCTCAACCAGTTGTGCCTTCAACTACAGGTACTCAGAATGTTCCTTCTCATACCACCGCCGCAACTCTTGAAGGAGGTCAACTACATCCACGACCGAGCATGCGTTCTGCAGACACCAAAAGCAGTGTTAGCACGAGGAAACACACTCAAAACAACAGAGATACTTAAGTATGAACTTACCTGAGCCGCAGCCCGGATGAGCGAGCACTCTAATGTGCTACTTCTAGAATTCCCGACCTCTTCAGTGATGTAGGCCGTCATCATCCCACGGAGCAACTGCTCGGGAACTCCGGGAGTCTCTAGCCCGTCCCGACTATGAATCGTCTAGTGCGGCACATGGATGTCTGAGCTGCTGCTACCCACCTCGACCTGTGTAGGGAAAGTCGTCAGACGAGCTTCCTCGGGTTCCACGACTACCACATCCTCATCATCGTTTACTCGCCGCTGAGCTCTCTTCTGCTGGCGAGGCACCCTCTCGGAAGACCTCGGGGGAGGAACTACCTCGGCACAGACCTGCGGTACCGTGCCAGCCCGGCTCTGCCTCTAGTGATTCTCCTTCATCCGGCATACGATCTCCTCTTCACTAGCCATCTCTACACCTGTATTACGGAAGTGCGACAGTGATTATGAAAACAAAGATGCAAAGAAAGTACAAGAAGACAAACCAACGAAAAGGACAGACCAACCACCCTGCGCATCAACCCACCGAGCATCAGCATCTCTGAGCATGTATACACAGTTACGTCTATCTTGCGGATCATGCTCAGAGCCGACCTTTCCTCCCAAGTAAGCGCCGACCATTGAGGCTGGGGCACTCTCATTCTTGGCTCTTGTAGCATGGCCAGGAAGGGGAGACCCCCAGGACAATGGACAAAGAAAAAAGTCTCCTTCTAGTGCTTCACAGAGGAAGGAGCCCCGACCATCACTTTGACGTCCTTCCTAGTCGAGAAATAGTAATAGCCCTGCTGATGATGTTTGAGCTGAAGAAGGAAGCTAACCATACCCAGGGTCAACTCAATATCACGGATGGCGCAGTAGGACTGAAGGCCGACCAAAAACCTAAAGGAGTTCAGCATCAGTTGCAGTACTCGGCACCATGCAAGTACCTCGACAACCCCTTCGTTCAAAGGAAACCTCAGCCCGGCCTCCAAACTGTTCTCATACACACAAAGTTCATCGGGCCGAGCATTGGTTGACATTCACCGTGCTGCAGGCACCTCATTCGGAAATCCTCAAGGATGTCATACATAGCTCGGATCCGAGCCATATCCTCGAGGCCCAACACATAGGGTGTGGTGCCAAACTGGCTACCAGCCTGCAGCGAAAGCTCGTCTTCTATGCTAGAGGGACCAACCTCGATCTCCTCAACCTCGGCCCCCTCAACCTCGGCATCCTCAAAAACCCCAACCTCAGACTCGTAATCAGACCCACTAGAACCAGTAGAGCTAGAAGCGGAAGAAGAATGGAAAGATGAGGAAGACATCTTACCGACCTTGAAGTCGAGGAATAAAAATAAAGCGCCGAGCAACGATGACAACACCCCGCTGAGCTATACCAGCAACTTCTCTCACAAATGGCGAAGGGAGAATGCCCTTCACCCCTTCCTATACCCCACAGGGACGCAAATCAATGCCAGATCTACGGTAGAGATCAAGCGCCACCCGGACAAAGCTCGGGAAGACCAATTGACACGACTGTTACCGCATGCGCGAAGCCTCGAAAATCGAAGCGGCGACCTTGACAAGCAACAGCCAGGGCATTAATTGCTCTGGCCCACCCCGTAGTAGCATTCCAACCACCGATGCGTGTGCCAGAGGTTCGCCCAGACCCACCGGGTCAACTAGCTACCATGATTTCCTCAGGACACCTAACAACAAAGAAGGCCTCACTTTGTCCCAACCGAGCTTCCCACTCTTCGACTTCGGAACTGGGGAGTGGTGCTTGGATCCCAAAATTTCAAGAACAAGTTCCTCAGCCAGAGAGCATATCCTCAACTTCGAACCTCGATAGACCACAACCGAGCTTAACAATAGCTCGATACCTGCGAAGCCCCCAACTTTTAAGCTTGGAAGACCACAACCAAGCATCATAACAGCTCAGCACTGGCGAGGCCCTCAGCTTCGAAGATCGGCAAGCCACAATCGAATATCACAACAACTCGGCACCTGGGAGGCCCTCAGCTTTGGAGCTCAGCAAGTCATAGCCGAGCATCGCAATAACCTCGGTCCCACAGCCCAGCAACCCCAAAGGAACCCGTCTCTGCAGCTCGACACCCCGTGGCCGAGCATCACAACCTCAACTCTGGAGCTCGGCCTTCGGCCAGCAGAAAAAGGCCTTTCCTCGGCATACAACCGAGTTAAGCCCTGACTTCGGAAGCTCGACACATCATAGCTGAGCATTGCAGTAGCCTCAACTCCAAAATACTGACCCAACTCCAAAGCTCGGCACTCCATGGTCAAGCATCACCACGGCACAGAAGCTCGACTTCCACTTGGAACCAGAGTCATTCCTCGGCTCCACCAAAACGAACTTGGAAGTTCAGTTCGACACCTTAGCTCCCTACCGAGCTACGCAACCGAGCAACACTTCGGGCCAAGCACTCCCCATTCTCGGCGGCAGAACTGGGGGACTGGTGTTTGAATTCCAAAGTTAGAGCTCTTAAAGTTCTGCAGCCGACAATGGGAAGATTCCTCGGCCATTTTCCATATTGCCCGATTCTCAAGATTGCGACAGGCACTGAGGAACACAAACGGGTTCAAACGCCCATCTAGACATCAACTTGAAGTTCTTCAGTTGAAGAACGAATTAGACTACTTCATTCCTCGACTTCAAAACTCGGGGAGTGGTGTTCAGGTCATGGCTGAGCTGGCCCTCCGAGACACATGGCCGCCCAGCTATCACCCTGCCACATCATCCTAGCTCAGCCACATCGGCATAGCTCGACCGATCTATGCTATTACTATGGCCCCCATCTTATCCTTCCAGCCACGTCAACTACACGTCATAAGGATGAGTACAACTATAGATAAGGAGGAATTAGGAAAGACGACTCCGCTGGGGAATGGGTCTCTATCCCGAATACCTCGGCGGCTAACCTCATCCCGACAACTAACCTCATCCCGACAACCCCGGAAGCCCAATCCAACCAGGACATGGATCTTCAGCTATAAAAAGGTACTCCATGCTCGAGGTAAGGGATTCCCAACCTCTAACACCCATACTTCTAAATAGCTCGAACCAGCATCCCTATAGCTCGGCCCGGCCATCCATCACGTCCTACTGACTTAAGCCTCAAAGTCTTTACCCAGGGTAACTCCTCGGGCCTCTGACTTCTGTTTCCTTGATCACAGGTCTTGAAGTGCGGCCTCGTCCTTATAGCTCGGCCCCGTCCTACCAACAAGGACTATCTAGTTGCTCTCCTCAAGTCGTGCACCACCTCGGATTGAACAGCATCACTGATCCTACAGACATTTTGATGGAGTGGATGTCTTTACATTCTTCTTTCATAACCTTTTATTTTTTTCATCATCTTTATATAAATTTTATTTTATCTTCGAAAGCAACAAATATTAAATGCAAATTAATAACTTCCGATTAATAACTTTTCCATAATTCTAAGTCGATCAGAATGGGCTATAAACAAAGTGGGTTAGGCAACTATCAAAAGTGAACACTCCCAAAGCCGCATACAGTGTGGATTCCACACGGGTCTCTCTCCATCCCTGTCCCCACGAAAATCCCCATCCCCATCCCCGCTAACGGGGATAAGGTTATCCCCATCCCTGTTCTTACGAGGATTCCCATTCCCCGTGATTTTTTTATAATGTTAATCATTTTATTTTTTATTTTTGTTTTTGTTTTTGTTTTTTATTGTATTTAAAAAAATAAAAACAAAATAATTAAAATTTACAATCCTAGAAAAGATTCAAACATATTTAACCATATTTTTAAAAATATCAATATATAAATTATGTGTACATATATACTTATATAATGTATACATACATATATACATATATTTTAGTGAGGATCCCACGGGGTAGAGATTGGGGTCCCTACGGAGTGGGGAATACTCTCTTCATCTCCACCTGTCCCTACTAATCCCTACGGAAAAAAATCATTTCCATCCCTACCCCATTCAGAGCGGATCCCGATGGATATCGGGGAAAATTGCCATCCCAACTTAAATAGATTGACTATCCCACTGCTGATGCCTGATGGATTGCCTAGTCCACTTTATTTCTAGCCCATTGAACTGTATGTACTGTAGTATAGTAGTTTAGAATATTTTTTTATATATATTGACATGATTAATTCAACAAGCTAGCTTTACTTATTATTTTAAATTAATGTTTTTGGGTGGAGTGCCTAATTCAACAAGCTAGTTGTGTTCCAGGAATCCACCATGAACCCCAATTTTCATCCAAGAATGCTCTGGGCCATGTTGCTTCGCCTCATCTTAATCATACCATGGCTTCTGCCGATGACAAAGGCAGCAGCTGTGCCGACGTTATCCCAGACGAAGCCCGGCTGCCAGTTCAAATGCGGTAACCTCAGCATCCCATACCCCTTTGGCATCGGAGATGATCCAGACTGTTTCATGGATGCAGATTTCAGGTTGATCTGCAACACTACCTCCACCGACACCCCATTTCTGCAGACCTACGACCGCCAGCTTCCCGTCTTGAACACATCGCTGCAGGGCCAACTGACGACCTCCGTTAACGTAGCCGTCCAATGTCTGGTGGGGAGCAACCTGAGCCAACCCTCTACACTTCAACTTCAGAAAGCGTACAGAGTCTCCTATACCAGAAATATCTTCATCACTGTCGGCTGTGAGATTTATGGCAGTTTGTATCACCATCCGGGCGAGGAGGTGTATGTTGGTTGCAGTTCATTATGCTTGCAGGACGCGAAGGTGACGGGTTTACCTTGTTCTGGCCTTGGGTGCTGCCAGATCTCCATACCCAAGGACCTCAGCTCCTATCGGATAAGTACAGACAGCTATGGTACCGCAAAATATACCATGAATATCAGCAGATGTTCGTACGCCGTTCTGTCCGACCAAGACTGGCTCGGCTCACAGGTGTCCGACTTCTGGAACAATAGAGACAGCTCGGACTACCTTACGAAAACTAGGGTGAAAGCTCCACTGATACTTGATTGGGCAATTCGAAACAAGACTACTTGCGAGGAAGCACAGAGAGCAGCTGCTGATTATGCCTGCGGGAACAACACCTACTGCAGTAACTCAACGAATGGCCCTGGATATCTTTGCCATTGTTTGGAGGGTTACGACGGAAACCCTTATCTTCCCGGAGGATGCCAGAGTATGGTTTCATTAACTTCTGTATTTTCTTTTCCTGTTTGAATTGATGTTCTCACCACTTATTAGGTAAATCATCGATCCATTCATTTCAGTACAGAGCCATATTAACTATCTATCTAGCTAGCTAGCTTCCTCTTGTTCTCTCTTATTCTTCCTTGTTTTTCTTCCTCTTCATGGTTTCACTACCCTCTCTTATATCAATTCAGATCTCCTCTTCCCCCTTTTCTAGAGCTGAAAAGGTACGGTACCTGACAAACTTTAACCAATCGGAAACCTTGGTTATCAATTTTTTCAAGGCATCATACCTTTTCAGTGCTAGTATTTTTCTTTAATACCACTTAATTAGGGTGCAAGTGAGGTACTCAGTTTCAACAATATACAAAGCATCGCCCTAGGGCTGGGGCCATTCAAGCTCTAGGATTATTACCTGAAACACCCATCTACTTTTCTGATTTTCAAAAGGACACCCTGACCTTTTTATATTTTCCACATTCCCATACATTTTTCATTGAAAAACCAACAACTAATGATAGATGTCTTTCTTTTCAATTGCATTATTTGAACCAGGCCAAAAGTCAAAAGATATATAGGCCCATCCATTCACTCAAAGTGAAACCATTGGTGGATGAGATCAACGGTTGGTGGACTATGAGGTGGATGAACGTGAAATAGCCAAGAGTATATTTCTTATAGGAAACCTATAGTTAATAGTTGGTCAAATTTAGTTTGTCATTAGAAAATAAAAATAGTACATTCTACCACTTCTATTTGTTATTCACGTTGATTTGACAGAAGATATATATATATATATATATATATTATAAATAAAAAAAGGACCATATAGGGGAGAGAGGTATCAACAAATTATAGTTAATTAATTTAAAATGAAATAAAAAAGTGAAGGGGTTTCAGACAATAACTCCAATTTTTAACAAATCCTCAACCCAAACCTGTCCACCTTGTTGGACTGATCTTTGTTAGTATTTTTAAACTGGTGAAGGTGTTTTTGTTTATTCTTTCTTTAAAATTTTATTTTACAAAAAAAACAAATATTGCATCCTTAATAAAAAACTTGTCTCTGTCTACCATACACCTGATGCATATGATAGACGATTTTTTTCCTTCAACTCATTCTTTCCATTCAATATCTGTAAGGCATCTTACAGGTGTGTATATGAGAAAATACCTGTGATGGGACACACTGGTAGGTAGACTCAAAATAGTGAGAAAAAAATAATGAATCCGGAAGAGAGAGAGAGACTATCCGACAGGAGTGGAAAACATAGCCTGATGTCCCCATTTTATTTTGTGAAGTTTAAGAGTTGAAATGAGTGTGGACACCTGGGGCGAGTACATCACACAGATTTTTGGGTCAACAGTTCGACCATTTGGCTTGAATAAATGGCTTATTGTAATTTTGAAAAAATAAAAAAATAATAATTAAAATAAAAATGGCTAAAAACTGTTATCCAAATTGAATAGATCAACGGTCCAATCACACAGATCAGTGGGTTGCTGATTAAATCAACAATTTTTGGTAAGATCCTGGTTCAAGGGTAAAACAGAACCAGTTGATTGGTCGGTTTTTGGATCGAACTGTGCAACCGTCTGCGTGGAAAACAGTTGGAAACTCATAGGTAGGATAGAGCCATTTCACCATCTAAAATGTTAACCCATGTCATGTGTGCAATTCCTCAATTTACTCCAACTAGCGCTATGCCTAATTAATCATTAATTTTCACCAAAAAATACCTAATTAATCATTAACTATTTTTTCACCAAAACAGACTTAATTTACCATTAATATATACTGCATAATGATATTATCAGCTGTTTTTTTTTTTTTTTTAATGCCTTACAAGAGAATCTTATTGTGGGCATGTAGCATTTGACTGGTCTATTGTAAACAAGACCTGTGAACAAGGAAGCACTAATTATGCATGTGGGAACAACACTTACTGCTCTTATTACAAAGATGGCCCTGGATATCTTTGCCATTGCATGGAAGGTTATCATGGGGATCCTTATCTCCCTGATGGATGCCAAGGTATGAATCACTTCACCTTCTCTCTTTTTATTTAACAAGGTATGATTCACACTAAAGGGATCCCCTTTTGCTTCAAAATGTAAATAGCTAAAGGTAGCCTAATCTTGCCAAGTAAGCATCCTCTCTAGAGAACCCCACCTATTATTGCCAGGTGGAAAAAAGTTGCAGGCATTCTAATACACTCAGAACCAACTCTACTATTTATCAGTTTTGCAGGTCACACCTAATAAGACCCAGCAATTGTATTGCTAATAAGCCTTTGCCTTGTTGATTTGGAGAATGACAATTTTAGACATCTTGGGTATCAAATTGTTACATACACACAATACCTGAAAAACATGTATGAAACTATGGGAGCTATAATTTGGTTGGAACAAGTAAAGCCAGTGCCAATCCTACTATAATTGAGATTCAAAATGCCGACCCAGAATTTGCCCTATTAATAAGCAGGGCTTAGAATGCAAATTAACCTAGACCCTTTTATCATTGTTCAATTTAGTGCAGGTCTGTCTGATTGACCCAGACCATCTAGTCATCTACAACCTTTTGTCTTTGCTCCTGATTCCCTGAAGCCCATGGTGTCTTAATTAGTTAATTATGTCTCAACAACGCACAACACTTCTCGTTTTGCAAAAACAATTAGGATATTATACATTGATTCAGACTTCAGCATATATAAAAGTTTTGTCATCTCGTTGTTGCCTCAACCTTTGAGCTAGGAATGATCATGGGCCCAGCCGGGTTTTGAAAGAATACTAACAGCCTTGAACCCTGCCCGGGCCAAGCCCAACCTGCACCCCGAGCCTGATAATACATGCCTGGCCCTGGTCCCAGGCTGCCCCAGCACACCCACAAAGACACAGTCCACACATGGACCACAAAAACCCAGCCACATAGGTCTATAAAAGACAAATACCAAGCCAAGGATCACAAAAGTACAGGCCGCTACAATCAAGCTCATTACAAGCATATCTATAGAAAAAATACAAGCAAACAAAGGCGAGGCCCATCTACTTCTACCCCACCCCTGCCTGGAGCTTTTAGTTCCTCTTTTCCCTTTTACCAAACACACATCAACAAAGAAATCTCTGAGTTATTTAGTCTTCCTGTACCTTTGGGATACCCACAACAAGCTGATAGGTATCGACCTCATCGGTCACTTTGATAAGAAGAGGAGTCCTTGGAATCACTTGACTTAGCTGCATCAGAGTCTCTCTCTCCTCAAACAATCCATACCAAGAATTATCAGAAGGGCTTGGCATGGGATATACCTGATTCCAACTCGAAGATCATCTTACACCCAATTCCTCCCCACCTAGGAGGCTAGGACTCATAATCCCAAGCTCTGATTCATCTACACATCTTGAACCACTCGTTATTCCACAGTGAAAGAGAGTGATGGGGGCCCAAGGGGGACAAGGAGAGCATACGACTCCAAGAGAACCACTCTTTATTTCATACCGGATATATGATATTATACTATATATGTAATTCTAGCGGAGACCCATATGATGCACAGGCTTTGTTAAGTGAAAGTGAAATAATGGAAATACATAATAGTAATCACATTTTTATTTAATTATTGGTAATTTTTTGCTATTTTTATTAATTTCTTGAAATTATCATATTTTCCAAAAATGTTAATAATCTATGTTTGTTTATTTTCTTGGTTAGTTTCTTTTCATTTCTACTCATTTATGACAACTTTTTGGTAATTATTGATAATTTTCTGTTATTTCTATTAATTTTTTGAAACTATCATAGTTTCTGAAAATATTGGTAATTAATTTATCATATTTTCTGTCCATTTATACTAAATTATGACAATTTTTGGTAATTAAATGAAATTTTCTGCCATTTACAGCTTAAATTATATTTATATATAATTCAAATTGAAAATATAATTAATGTTAATCATAGTTTAAAATTTAATTATATTAGTTAAAGTTTTAAACATAATTTAAATGTAATTGCCGTTAATTACAGTTTAAAAGGGCATCTGTTTTAAATAATAAAACTATAAATTATTCAAAATAGTAATTATTTTGTAATTTTGTAATTTAGTTTTAAATATATAATTATACTTAAAACTTAAATTTAATTTAAAACATAAATTATATTTAAATATAATTCAAATATAATACAAATGTAACATACAATTTAAATGTAATTACTACTAATTATAGTTTGAACGGTAACTTATTTTAAATAATATAGTTTGAATGTCATTTTGTCATTTTATAACTTATTTTCAAATTATAAATCATTGATAATTAAACTTATAATTGAACCATTGATAATATTTAAATTTAGAATATAATTACTGTTAGTTATAATTTAAAATATAAATTAAGCTTTAACTTAATTTCTAGGTATTTAAAATATAATTTAAATATAATTACTGCTAACTACAGTTCAAAACATAATTTAAATATATTTTAAAATTGAACAAACTTTACTTTTATCAATTATAGTTTAATTAATTTTAAATTTTAACTTAAATTATATTTAAATATAATTTATATATAATTATTGTTAATTGTAGTTTAAATATATTGCAATTAAATGCAATTTAATTTTATATTTAAATATAATTTAAATACTTAAATCATAATATTAATTAAATCATTGGGTCGAGATCGACCAGATCAAGAAGATGATCCGGACCGATCTATGCCAAAGCGGATTCAAATCGGATCTTGGTCAGATGTGAAAGCCCGACCAATAAATCTCATCTTCTTGACCCGGGTCGAGCTACAGTGGTCGCTCAATACAGCGACCACAATAGCCAAATAGTCCTTTTTTCACTTAGTTTAGGCATCCAAACCGAAGCAAAGATGTCGTCATCCAATCTTTGCATCAAAACTATCCAAGAAAAGCTAGATTCAGCCAATAAATTATTTATTTTTGTTTCAAATTCCTTTGTTTCGTTCTTAATGTTTTCAAACAGAATCTAGGTTTCTAAATTGATCAAAAAACAAAATAGATTGTTACGATTTATTGGTCCCACATTAGTAGTAGGGGATGCTGTTGTGGGGTGTATATGTGTTTGAGTTCCTCCCTCTAATAGCTAGTTTTTAGGGGTAAATTCTCCTAAGGCACATAATAGATGGTATCAGAGCCCACACTATGCCTTTCAGTTGCAATCGTGCAGCCCAAGTGGTGACGTCGGTATTGCAATGTTTGGCCGGGACTAGGTGGACTAGTGCAAAACCAACTTGGGTGAGTGTCAGGACTGCGGAGCATGGTGGAATGTTACGATCTATTGGTCCCACATTCGTAGTATGGGATACTGTTATAGGATATATGTGTCTGGGTTCCTTCTCTCTAACAGCTAGCTTTTATGGAAGAATTCTCTTAAGGAACATAACATAGATGGTCAGAGCACATGCCTTTCAAGACAATCCAGGAGAGAGAATAAGTGAGAGAAAGAAAATAATGGTGTCTTTCCACCCTCGCTTTTCAAATCCTGCTTTTCGTTCAAATCAAAGTGATTAATAGCAGGTTTAGAATAGAGCATAAAAGAGAGAAAAATGGGTAAAGAACTGAGAAAGGAGTTGGGGAAGGGGAATTTACCTATTCCGCAGTTTCCGCTGATGCAATTTGGACCTTCAAGCCCTTATTTTCATCCAAAACAGAGAAAGATGAGGTGAATTATGATCGTGAGAATAATGAAAAGAAGAGTTGGAAAAGAAAAGAATGTAAATCAACCTGGTTTCTTAGTTTAACACGATTTAGGGAGATCACATCTCCACCCCACAAGGGGCTGTCCCACAATGCCCCACAGCACATCCCCGCCGTGTATTGGAAACATTTCTCCCTGATAATATCAGAATCGATGATGTCATCATTGAGAGGTGTTTCCAATACACGGTGGGGATGTGCTCTGGGGCATTGTAGGGTGGGGATGTGAACTCAGATTTAGGAGAGTCCATTGATGTGGGCATCAGACATGATATATCTAAGGAAATTTGATTAGAGTCAAAATAATGTGGATTTAAAATTTTGAAAAATCCAAAAGAACCGAAAAATTTTTCGACTTCCTTCTTTATCATATACATACAATTTCTGGGCCAGGCCAGGCTCAGAGGCCCTAGGGTTTGGCTGGCCTAGGCACGACCCACTTCATGTGTGGGTCTAATGCATGTGCAGTCCCGGCTGGACCTAGAATAAAAATGATTGCTCAGGCAGGGTCAAAAATGATAATCCCTACTTTGAGCCAATCTTGGTTTTGAAAACCGAATAAGACTGGATGGTCAGACTGGTTGAACCAGGATTCGGTCATGGTTCTGGGTCCATCTTTGGACCCCAAAACTGCCTGATTGGGTTTCAGACCGGACAATTGAACCATTTGACCTAAGAACCGGTGGTCAAAGCAGTTCCACTTTCGATCTGCTTTTCAAAATCATGGAGCCAATACATAAGTGACGCATGTGTTACCAATGGATTATCTTAAGATCGGCTTCAGTCAGTGCAAGGCCCGTTCGAACAACCTTTAAAGCCTTGCATCGGAAATATTTCTATACTTCTATACTTTATTTCACAGGGAGATATTCCCAATGCAAGGCTATAATGGGTGTTTGAACGGGCTTTGCACTGACTGAATCCGATTTTGATTATCTTATTCATCTCAACAAAATCAAACAATGCAAACATTTTTATGAAGCCAAACAAGGTACTTTGGTTGGTGCAAGTTCACTTTGTCTTCCTAGCCAGTAGGGGGCAGATATCCAGAGGAGACAGAGTCCAAGTAGGATTTTTACAAGCAGTGAGAGCCATCTTATCTTGATTACTAGCTCTAGTTCAGTAATGAATTAGGTAATTAGGTGGTTGGATTTTTATTGATCAAGTATTCATCATGAAAGTTCGGCAGGGGCATCCAATAGAAGCATGATTACTTTTCCGGAGAATTTGAGTTGTTTTATTAGTTGTCATATTATTTTAGGGAAAATTCCTGATTATTATTATCCTGTGCTTTGGGTCTAGTGCCACTTTGGTTTTTGGATTTTAAAATGGGATAATTCAGTATCTAAACTTTTAAAACATGTCACTCTAGTACTTGTTGTTAATCAATTTATTAACCAGTCATTAAGTGGTATTTGAAAAGACAAAAATGCCTTTTAACTGTCATCTATTTCTCTTTATCAACCATCTAAACATTGACAAAAATGAACCGTCACAAATCCTTGCTTTTTCTATATAAAAAAAAAAATCAAGATCACCAGGAACTCTTGAATAAAAAAGGCAAAGATTTAGAACTGTTCATTTTTTTTGTTAACATTTGGATGGTTGATAAAGAGAATTAGATAACATTCGAAGGGCATATATGACTTTTCAAATGCCACTTAAAGGCTGATTAACAGCAAGTATTGGATTGACACATTTTAAAAGTTCAGGTGCTGAATTATCATATTGGATTTTAAAGTTCAAAGACCAAAGTGGCACTAAGCCCAAAGTACAGAGTACCAATCCGGAATTTTCCCATTATCTTTGGTTTTTGTTTGGTTATATTATGCTTTATATTTTCTTTGAAACCTTTTCTTTACAAGAGGTACATTTGATTCACAAAAATAGGGGTCTAGATTCAGAATCATATTCTAACCATTTGGTTGGGCAGGGAAGAATCAGAATCCCGTTCCTGGTGTTATGGCATTCCCCCATTTCAGGGAATGGCCACTCCCCACCGGGAATGAGAATAAATTAATTCCAGCTATTCCGATGTCTAAACCAAACATGTTCAGTTCCAAAAGTTTTTGATTCTGATTTAGATTTCCATTTCGACTGTAAACCAAGCAGACCCTAATATTCTTTGATAGATAAAAGGCCATAGCAAATACTAAACAGAACTTATAGTGTTTCTCACCTATAATATAAAAGATCCCATTAACAGCTGGGAAGAATTGAAAAGGAAAAAACATCAAAATGCCTTGGGATGTGTTGTCTTGTTTCACCTCCTTTTATAAGCTACAAAGTTACACCATGGTGATGAAATGATGGCAACAGCTCAATCGACATCACCAGAGACAAAGCCCGGCTGTCAAAACAAATGCGGGAACGTTGACATCCCATACCCATTTGGCCTAGTGGGAGATGATCCAACCTGTTACAAAGATGATGAATTTAAGTTGTTCTGCGACACTGTATCTGATCCACCCCGACTGCTGGTCTACGATGATGATTATTTGAGTTATAGCGAGACGTTCATTACCAACATATCACTACAAGGCCAACTGAGGATGTTCTACACTTGGGCCGCTGTCTACTGTTACTTAGGAGACAACAGCAGCACTGGAATGTACAACACATTCATCAACTTGCCAGATGTATACAGATTCTCCAACACCCAGAACAGATTTACTGTTGTGGGTTGTAACATGCTGGCGGTCTTGACTGATTATGGTGACAGTTTCCATATTGGATGCATTACATCTTGTCCTTATGCTATAGAATCGATGAAGCTACCTTGTGATGGCATTGGATGCTGCCAGACCGCAGTGCCAAAGGGTCTTAATGCATTTGTTATACAACTCCGGATGTATGACAACAGAAGCAGCTACACAGACTCCTCCAAGATTAGCAGATGTGGCTTAGCTTTTCTGTCCGACCTAGAGTGGTTCAGTTCTAATGCTTCATATCTGTGGAATTTGAAAAACAATGTGGAATATGTTATAAACATAGGTTCCCTAACTCCAGTAGTACTTGACTGGGCAATTCGAAACAAGACTTGCGGGGAAGCACAAAGAATGGCTGATTATGCTTGTGGGAAGAACACCTACTGCACAAACTCCACTAATGGCCCTGGATATCTTTGTCATTGTATAAAAGGTTACCACGGGAATCCTTATCTCCCCAATGGATGCCAAGGTATGAGTTCACTTCTTAGAATCCTTTTCTGCTTATGAAAATGCAGCCAGACCTAGGAAAATATTAGGACTCTTCCAAGTAGAAGAATCATGGGACCAGTATGAACATGTATTAATAAATCCTCTGGTCCAACTTGCGCTACCTGATATTGTAGTGAGATTAGCCATTAAAGCTTATAGAGTGTTTTTCTTAATTTAACAAGTTCTGTTAGGAAAGCATTATAGGGCAGTTTATTTTACCAAAAAAACTATAGGACCATTTGGTTTACGAGAATTGGCCATTCGACTGTTTGGTTGAGTGGAATTGGAATCTTATTCCCCTTCCTGATGGAATGACATTCCCCATTTGAGGGAATGGGGGAGTGGTCATTCCCTCCCCCTCCCTTGGGAATCCAGCTTATTCCAATTTCCATTCCGATTCGTGTCTAAACCAAACAGACTATGGGAATAGACTGCGAACCAAATGGACCATATAAAGGGAGAGCAACACTTGGGTCCTTTAGGGGTATTAGGCAATGCCTATGGGAGACCTTTGGGTGGTTTAGGCTACATGCCAAGTGTTTGGAGTGGCTAATGCTTTGTATTTTGCTTCTGCAGATGTAAATGAGTGTGAGGATCAAAGGAATAATCCTTGTGTAGGCATTTGTACAAATACAATAGGATCTTACTACTGCTCTTGTCCAAAGAATAGCTATGGTGATGGTAGAAAAGATGGTCAAGGCTGCACTTGGAAGAGTAAAGGCTTTCCTGTGATGAAGGTCACTCTAGGTAATCTTCTTTATTAATATCGGCCAATCTTGTTAATGGTGTTATCATCCAGGTATTTTAAATACATATATATGGTGCATTATGTTTTGTTGTTAGGAGTGTTGTGTGCTAGCTACTATATTTTTTAATTATTTATAAAATAAACATTTTATTAAAGAAAAGGCTGGAAGCACAAAAAGAAGCAGCCCAGCAAAAATTAGGCCAACAAACCCTAACCACCAACAAAACATACACAAAATAAGCATACTATGAATCCTTTACTCTTCTTCTAAATCATACTATGAATCCTTAGACAACCTTTATCTATTAATTAGTTTTAGTTTACTGCTCCATATTCCAAAAAAACAAAAAAAAAAGCGAAAAAGTAGGCCCATCTACTTACAAACTTGCACTTTTGTGTTCACCAGTTGCCCGATAGGGACTGGCTCTACCTCAACCCCATGTACTGCTGCATGTAATTTCTATACATGCATTCATACAGATCCCTTTCGAATGAATCATAATTTTAAAATTGATTTTCAGTTTCTAATGAGCAAAAGCCCTCCTTAGATGGACTAACATTTCAGTCATGCTTTGTATAGAAAACAAACTTTTTAACAGGTGGACCATTGTGCAGTAGGTGTTCTTCCCACAAGGCCCATTTCAGTCATGCTTGGGGGAAGAACACCTATTTTCAGTTTCTAGTTCCACCATTTCCGGTAACCATTAAAGACAAACTTTTTAACAGGTGGGAACCATCTCTATAAAGAGAGAGGACATCTGCTAAAGTGGAATAATGAACTATATTGAACTGCTGGCTTCGATTGGCAACTCCAAACCTCAATCACCCAATCTTGAATCTCCTAATAATCTGGACTTGCTTATCGGACAATGTAAAATGGAGTTCAGATCTGCGATGATTACATCATCAGGAGATGTTTCTAATACACGGCGAGAATGTACTGTGGGACGTTGTAGGGTRCAGATCTGAATTCTGTAAAATGAAACTTCCCGTTCAAGCACCCCCCCCACCCTAATCGTGCCATTAACCACTTTGATTGTTGCCTCCTCTATTACTCCTTGCACTATATCATTATACTATTCAAGATGAAATTTATGAATGATGATTGAATTTTATTTAATTAATGTGTGTATGATATCATGTATATCAAAAAGGTTTTTCCCCCAAATTTTACTCCAGGTGGAGGGATGACCATCTTAAATTTTATTAACCACTGTCAGAAGGATAATAAAAAGATATAGGGGAGGACATAGCCTACATTGCCCCTATGCCAGAGAATACAAAACTCTTCCTCACACTCTCAACCCAGTCCCATACAAGTCAGGAAAAAAATAAACCCAAAACTAGAATAATAATCTAATTCTTGCATTTGACAAATGATTTCAATCCTGAATGACCAAATTTCTAATCCTCTCCAGGAGATCACTAATATGAAAATGAGTATGTAAGATCCATTATCAATGCCTCCATTAATAAGGGAGTCCACTAACTGATTTGCTTCTCTATAAATGTTGTGGAAAGAAATCCTAAGCTGAGATTTCAGATCAAAAACACCAAAAGAGCCACACCATCATGATTAAGTGCACCAAAGATTTGTTACACATTCCACCATAATATTATACCAATTGTCATGTAAGCATAGTTTAAGACCATCACTTAGAACACAAACACCCTGCTTGTGACGCAGCATCCATAAAATATGAAAATTTAATATGAATATAATAATAGATGATATCAAAACTAGTTTTTCTTTTTCATGACAAACATATTCCAAAAATTTAACTATCTTTAGAACAAACCACTTATGCTATAACAGTGTCTAGCACCGTGTTGAAATGACAAAATCAAAGCCTTTTAATATGTCACATCTTAAATTAGATGAAGTGATGTTTTGATGAGGTCACAACAATAAATGTAAGGCCATGATTTACCGCTTTAACCCTGCATTACTATACTGTTCTAGCAAAGGCCTTTCAATGGATGCAAGTTGTACTTCACGTTTAGTCACTGCTTTTTGGTAAGTTATTAATTTGGGTAAATGCACTTATTGGGATAAGTGTTTTTTGGAAAACATTTACCTTAGGTAAGTGCATTTATCCATGTTCTTTTATTTTTTAGGTAAACAAAATAATGACCATTTTAGCCATTAAAATTTCATTATCAAAAGGGGCATTTTTGTCCCATCCAAGTGTTGGCAACTTTCCCAATATGAGAAAGTTAATTTACCCATCTCCTAGGTAGGTAAATAACTTTCCCACCTAGGGGGAAGTTGGCAACACTTAAATGGGACAAAAATGCCCTTTTTAATAATGGATTTTTATGGTTAAAATGATCATTTCCTTATTTACATGGGAAATAAAAGAACCTGGGTAGGAAACTTACTGAAAAAGCAAACGAGGCCTTAGTCAGAGTAGATATTATCATGCACTAATAGCTTTTTAATAGTTTTGATCCTACATGCATTAGTGTCACAAATCATGGTAAAAAAACTATAATTTAATAAACACCTTATCTTTCAAAAAACCTAAAATAAAAATATTCTAAGTTTCAAGCTAGACATTTGGTCCTAATGTTTTGGTATTTAGATAAGTTGTTTCTTCTAGGATTTTTGGGCAGGAGTGGGTGTGGCTTTCTAGTACTTCTTGTTTGGTCTTGTTGGCAATTGTTTGGTTTATATCCCGAGTTAGGCTGGTTCAGAACATGCTTTTTGTTTTTTGTCTTCAACAGCATATACTTCTTGTATACTCTACTCTTTTCTTTAATAAACACCTTATATTTCAAAAAATAATAAAATATCCTCTTAAGAAAAGAATCCTCACAAGCATATTAGGCAAAAAGGAAATGATCCCTCTCATGACTATGTTATATGATACATTTCTCACCTACTCTTATAATAGTTCTACTAACTAATCATTAAATATTTTGCAGGTATAGGTTTTGGAATCTTACTTCTACTCATTAGTGGTTCATGGTTACACTACATTATGAAAAAACGCAAGCTCATAAGGCTAAAAGAGAAATTCTTTCAACAAAATGGAGGGTTTCTTTTACAACAACGAATATCATTACATGAAGGTGGTTATGAGTTCTTAAAGATCTTCACAATTGAAGATTTAGAGTTGGCAACTAATAGATTTAATGAGGATTTCATCTTAGGTCGAGGTGGTCAAGGTACTGTATATAAGGGCATTCTACCTGATCAGCGAGTTGTTGCCATTAAAAAGTCCAAAGTAGTCGATGATGGCCAAATTGAGCAATTTATAAATGAGGTCATTATTCTTTCTCAAATTAATCACCGAAATGTAGTGAAGCTCTTGGGATGTTGTTTAGAGACTGAAGTTCCTTTACTAGTTTATGAATATGTCTGCAATGGAACCTTATTCCACCACATTCAAAGAAAGAGTGGCATTTCCTTGCTTTCTTGGGAAGATAGGTTAAGGATTGCAACAGAAACTGCCGATGCAATTGCTTATCTACATGCTGCAGCTTCAATACCAATCATTCATAGAGATATCAAGTCCACAAATATATTGTTAGATGATAATTTTAAAGCAAAAGTTTCTGATTTTGGACTTTCAAGGTTACTTCCTATGGATCAAACTCAAATAACTACATTAGTACAAGGAACTTTAGGGTATTTGGATCCAGAGTACTTCCACACTAGTAAATTAACAGAGAAAAGCGATGTTTATAGCTTTGGAGTAGTTCTTGTGGAGCTTCTAACAGGAGAAAAACCACTTTCTTTTCAAAGATCACTAGAAGAAAGGAACCTAGCTGCATATTTTGTTTCTGCAATCAATGAGAGCCATCTCTTACAAATCATTGAGAGTGAATTATTGGATGATGAGTGTGTAATTGAACAAATTTTTGTAGTTGCTGACCTTGCAAAAAGATGCCTTAACATAATGGGTGAAGAGAGACCAACCATGAAAGAAGTTGCAATGGAACTAGAAGGATTGAAAAGGTTAAAGATATACTCATGTGTTCAACAAGAAGAGAGTGTAAGTATACAATCTGAATCCCCAAGTGCCGTTCTTGTACCTCTAAGACACTATCCAGGTGATTCATCTGGGTAATATAGCTATCTTTGAAATTCTCACCTTAAGAAGGTCAAACACTTACATCAATGTAAATAATTTGTTTTTATTTTTTAAGTTTATGATACCTGAAAAATAAAATTTGCTATTATAGTTGTAAATGCATGATGTGTTTAAAACAATAAGATCTCTTTAATTATTAATGTACTCCTTTCTTTGTTGAAATATCAYCAGTAAGCTTAACTACTTTTCTAAAGTACTTATATATTTTAATTACCAAAGTACCATGGTGTGAATGGGGATTTGCTCATCTCCACACTGACCTCATAGTACATATCCCACTATGTATTGGGAATATCTCTGCATGAATAACACCACACAAGTACGAGATATGTTTCTGACGTGTGAATGAGACATGCTATGAGGTTGGTGTGATGAGCAGATACAGGCTTAGTGAATTGATGTTGTAAAATTAAGGGAATGATAAGGATGATTGCATTTCATGTTGCTAATTTAGTGCATTTAGTCTATTCACAACTTACATTGCAAACTATTAAATGTTGCTACACATTTCCAAGAATCATTGAATCAGTCCTCTCGAAAATACAGTAAAGCTCTCTTCCAATGTGCGTCGATTGCATCATCCAAAGGTAGGTAGTTCCAAAGTTAGTTGTTTCAGCTTCCTAGGTGAGTTAATGTGAGTCTTTGTTCAATGTAAGTCGGTTCACCTTCAACCGACTCCATCTACTATAAAAACCCCTCTTCTGTATTGATTCAGATATCAGAGAGAAATAGCAGAATACATTTACAAAATCTTTTCTCTCGTTCAACTAAGTTCTCTTCTATCTTTTCTATCATATTTTTTACAGTATTTATTGTTACTATCATCCGCAAACCATCAGTGGTATCAGAGCTCATTCGATCAATCTCTTGGGCGTGATTTCTTCTAAACATTATGTGTGTAGAAGTCAACCGTTCCACCCTTTCTCTCACAATCTTCAATGGAGAAAACTATGACTTCTGATCCATCAAAATGAAGACCTATTTTCGGTCACAAAGTTTATGGAGAATCGTTGAGGAAGGATTCTGCATTGCTGAAGACGCCTCTACTCTTTCAGCAAATCAAAAGAAGATCTATAGGAACACAAGACATCAAGCTAATCGCAAAATTTCAGCTCGTGAATGGGGAACTGTACCGTAGAGAGTCAGATGGTGTAAGGACAAGATGCCTAGGGAAATCAAAGAATAAAGCAATGTTGAATGAGGTACAAAGGACCAATTGTGGAGATGTCATATGTACCCTATTCTGAAGATTGCAGAGATTAGGGTATTACTGGCCTGCGATGAAGTGGGACTCTACCAAAGCACAAAGAGAATGTGATAAGTGCATCCCACAAGTGGATGGTAGGGAATGTCTCACAGTCTGTGAAGATGACTGGAGGAGGATATATATAGAATATCTGTAGGAACACACACTGCCCATTGACATTACATTGAGGAGGAAGCTATTGTCCAAAGTCAAGCAATTCTACCTCCAAGACGGAGTGCTGTACAGGAAATCACATGCAGGAAAACCCCTGTGATGCTTTCGCCGGTGATGAGATTAACAACAACTATAGGCAGCCCATAGTTCTAAACCTATGGCCCATCAAGGTCAGCTCGCTCTACACAACCATATCCTACACCTAGGTTTCTACTAACCAACTATGATGGAAGATACATAGCGACACGTGCGTAGATGTCACAAGTGTCAGATCCATGGCGAAAGGATCCATAAACCTACCAACAGCCTCCACCCAGTCATCACACCTTGGCCATTCCATACTTGGGGGGTAGACCTAATAGGTAAGATACACCCACCTTCTAGAGGGTATTGCTTTATCATAGTAGCCATAGATTATTTCACTAAATGGCAGAAGCCATCCCCTTGCGATGAACCTACGCGGACAACATAGCAAATTTCCTAAAACAAAACATAGTCCACAGATTCGAAGTACAAATGCGGATACTGGCAGACAATGGCCTATCCACCAAAAATCAAGAAGTCAGTGATCTCCTAGGGTAGTACGGTGCAAGACTAGGAACGTCCGCAACATATTACCCACAAGGAAATGGTCAAGCAGAGGCCACAAACAAAACTCCACTCAGGATGTTGAGCAAAACAGTGGCTGATAATCAAAAGGATTGGGTAGATAAGCTATCAAAAACTCTTTGGGATTATCGCACGTCTATCAGAAAAAATRCATAGGCAACACCCTACACCTTGGTGTATGGTCAAGAAGCAATGCTCCTAGTATAGATAAGAGTCTTATATACTAGGATAGCCTTCATGATGGGCAAGAAGATCAGACCAAAGGATGTGGACCTATTACTTGCAAACAAACTCAAGGTAATCGACGAGGTTAGAGATGTAGCCTCACAAAAGCAGAGCAAGTACAAACAGTCCCTAGCCACAAACTTCAATAGCCACCTAAAGCCTAGGATTTTCAAAGAGGGGGATAAAGTACTAAAGACAACTCTCAACGTTAGAAAAGGCAAGTCTGCGGGAAAGTTCGCCCTAACATGGGAAGGGCCATACCTAATAAAAGAGGTCCATACTTCGGGCTACTATGTATTAAAAACCATAAACACAGATGAAGATGATGAAACCATCAATGGCTATTGGTTGAAACCTTACTTTGAATAATTCTGTGTTTCTGTAATTCCACAAAAACATGTACATCTTCTATAAATATATTTGCAACTTTTCATTATCCAGGACTCTATTAACTACCCACTTGCTATGCTATAAAGTCTATTTTAGTTCCATAAAGAATTCTGATTGCAATTAAGTTGTTTTCCTCTCACCCTCTGATTAACAATACATGCATCTGTACATTGTGATAGTAGTTAAAKGAATGATACATTACAATTTGTTCCAATATGTTCCACATAACTGTTTACATACATATCTTGTTTATATCCTACAACCTGTTCAACTATGCTTTCAAAGCCCTGGCAACCCCAGGCACTCTCGTTTCGTGGCCAATTCCACGATGTCGCATGCTCTATATGAAGGCCTTGGCAATCCCAGGCGTGACTCAAAGCCACGGCAACCTTAGGCACTCTAATAAGCCCCGACAACCCCAGGCACCCTAATAAGCCCTGACAACCCCAGGCACTCTCATTTCGTGGCCGGTTCCACGATGTCGCATGCTACATGTGAATGCCCTGGCAACCCCAGGCACGACTCAAAGCCCTGACAACCCCGGGCACTCTAATAAGTCCCGACAACCCYAGGCATAGATAAGCCCTAGCAACCCCAAGCACAGACAAAGCCCTAGTAACCCCAAGCAAAGATAAAGCCCAAAGCCCTAATAACCCCAGACACAAACAAATCCCTAGTAACCCCAAGCATAGACAATGCCCTAGWAACCTCGGGCACAGACAAGCCCTAGTAATCCCCATGTAGAGACATGCATCCGTGAAACCATTGGCGGGCTCCATCGACAAGAAGTAAGACCCCTACCAAAACCACAAACACAGATACTTTGTTTAACATCAACAAAACCTAAGAGGACAAACTTCACCTACCCCAGCATCAACAATGACACTCGACTTGGAAACAACACCCTACTTTCCCAAAGTTTGATTGCGATAAAATGAGTTCCCATTGCACAAGTTCATTTGTAGACATCAATGCATATCCCACACTTTGACTCTTCTACTTAGTGTTCTTTCGCACCGAATAACGTTTTGATACAGGCACAATCCCTCGACTAGCTACTTACCCATATAAGATTATCTGGGTCAATTCCCCTTGACTGTACCTCAAAAGACAAATTCACACTAATCATCTTCTTTAATGATTTACGATAAAGTGACATTGTGCTTGCATTCGATTACGATAAAACCCAGAGGGGGCTTACTAACCAACAATAGCTGGCACAACCCTTTCACGCAATGAACATACTCACAAAAGCATCATACTGCGAAGAAATTTCAACCTATATTTATAATGCAACCAAAGATCAATTGCGATTAAGCAGACTATGCCCATACCAAATTGTGGGAAACACGCAATCACCTCGTCCTTCACTACACATATAATTAAACTACGATCAACGCGGAAAGAATAATAAGTTTCATTCCATCACTCCCTTTTCAGARTGTTATCTCAAAACCAAATGAAGTGCGAATTACTGTGACAAGCCAACCCACCCTTACATCGAATAGGGTCCAGTCGTACACAAAAGCAACTTGACAGAAGTTGAACAAACAATTACATTAAGACTAATATTACATTCACATTTTCATTTCAAAAATACCAGAATATTTCATTGCACTTCAAGGAATTTCGTCCTTAATTTACACCTAGTACATACAATAATCACTTGGCCCATTCGTCCCACATCGCAGCAAAAATCTCCAGCACCTAACTCATTTCTTCAAATTTCTTAAGGCTTTCCAACTCTGCCTACGTAGTCCACAAGGATCTGCTTCTACCATGCACATTCCTCCATCAGGCCCTTAACCTTATCTGCAACCCTAGTGACGCTTGCCTCAACTACTTTCTGGCTCTCACGAACATCCTTCATCGAATGAAACAAATCAATCTGAGGTATGTCCCGCCCAGCCTTCCAGAAGGCATGCGCTAACATCACGACACATTTCTCGATCTGCACCATGAGAAGCCCATTGACAAAAAACCCTGGCAAGCCTCTAGCCAACAAGAAAAGTCAGTCCATGATAAATCCTCCGCTAAGTGGGTTATCACACGACTCATTAGCATGGCAATGGTGTTCAGCACAGGACCCACAACCGAGCAACCACACTTTAAATACTATACTTCACGCCTTTACCCTGAATCAAAACTGGATTTACAAATAGGAAGTGCAACAGTGGGATGTCGTGGTTATSGCATAACTCTGACAGCTCCCACCATATCTGGACCAGCTCTTCCTCGTACGTCAACTCCTCGGGAGGAAAGATAATACCGGGCTCTATGTCTCCATCCCCCAAATGAAGTTCCAAGTCAGCGGAGATCTCAGGCCCCACCAAGTCGTTGGCCTCAGGTTATGAAGAAGCATCCCAAGAAGCACMAACAGCTGCAATAGGGGACTGAGGCTCAATAGAAGC